CTTGAAAAGACACATTTCATATATCAAAACATTTGTTCTTCCAAAACATTATGTGCTTTCAAAACATTCTTTTCAAAAGTATTTAACAATTTCATTTCATATATCAAAGAATTCGTATTTCATTATCAAATAACTTTTCTCTATGTACCTAAAAGTGGGAAAATGCCAACACACAATCACCTCAACCACAAGATGGTTGGCTAATCAACTTCTAGTTTATTTCCTTAGAGCAACACTCTTAAACACCAACTATATAACATGTATAAAAGTCAATAAATGAAAAAAATACCCATTATATGTTCGACTACTAAATTTTATTGCCTAAACTCATTCCTTATGTAAAAATATAAATGTAGGCGAAAACCATGCGTATATCCGAGTCCGTATGAAAAAGTTATGATGTAAATACTAAAATTCATATTTTGATTAAGTTAGTAATTCTGAAACTAGAACACGGGCCACACCCTTGATCACACGGTCCGCGACCCAAGGAAATCCAAACATGCCCAAAAAACTCATTTTTTGGGGCTTAAATTTGCATGGATGGTTTTGGTGCCTTAGGTAACCAATTGTAAAACCTTTGGAGGTTTCCAAGTACTACTAGAGGACATTTTATCATATCAAAACATTTAAATTTATTCATTAAGACCTCATTTTACAAGATAAGCTCATAATTATACAATTGGAAGGATTAAGAGCTTAAGTTGCTCACCATTGCATTCCAACCATTCTGACTTATTGCAAAGTCATTCAAAACATCATTGGATGTTGTCAAGTGTATAAGACCACAATCAATCTCATTGTAAGTATCTAATGTAGCTATGAAATCCTCAATTCAATTCCATGTTCCCAAATTTCCCTTGGGCCAAAACAATGACTAGAGCTAGAACATCACAAGCATTCCTTCATATTTATGTTCCAATATCATCTCTAGAGTGTAAATTAATGTTCATGAATTTCATTCACTTCTTAGATGTCAATCATCATGTAGTTATCCATAAGTTTCCCCAAATCCATCTCAATCCAAGCTTATACATGATTCTACCATCATGGATGAGTTTGAGCATTCCAATTGGATTTATTCTTGTCAAACATCATCTAGGTCATGAATCCATCATAATTTCCCATAAAAATATAAGATCTCCAAATTTGGGATTCTAGGGTTCATGGTTTTCTTTTACCCAAATTATCAAGTCCATTAATGGGATGATCAGAATGAGATAGGAACCATAAAAAAAAAAATACTCAAGAGAGGTTAGAAACAAACACCCTAGCCATTATATCCCACCCAACTCGACACTGGGGTTTTATCCACTTCACAAAATTGATTTCTAGGTTAAAAGGAGAAGAAGTTATACATTGTAAACCTTTGCTCTCTCCTTTCATTGCTTAGATGTTTAAATCTCCACTTAAACCAAACCCAAGAAATTCATAAGATGAAAATCTCCGTTTGAAAAGATGGTATGTAGCTCAATCACCTTTTTCTCCACAAGAGACGAATAAATGCATCTTTATCTTCCTAAAATTTACATATACGGTCCCTCTAGTTTACATCTTTTGTTAAATTTACCATTACTTCATTTATTTTCACATTTTCTTAAAATGTTGTCATAACAAGTTCTCCTCCATCCATTAAACAACTTTGCAAGTCCCTTCCATTAATTGAGTCAACCTTTTGGCCAACTCACTTTTTCAACTTGATATTTCTGTCCCTTTAACTTTTAAAATGTTATTATTTTTAATTCAAACTTTCTAAACTTTATACCAATTAATGATATGATTACTCCTTGATGATTTAACTATATAATTCATTTTTCATTTATTCGCTTTATTAATTTAAGAACCTGGTCTTAAATTTTAGGATGTACAATATTGACTTTTCTTTTGCCTATTTCTTCTGTCTATTCCAACCCACAACAAATATAAGTAGATTTTCTCAACCAAGTCAGCCCACTAAATTAAAAACATACACATTAAACAACATATGACACAAGTTCTTAAGCCCATGATAAGAGAGAGAGAGAGGGGGGGGGGGGGGGTTGAGCAACCCGTTGAATCAATTCATTTAGCGGTACCACACATGGAAGGACAACTATCTTTGAGGTACCTCGGTACCTCTAACCCTCCAAAAAAAACAAACTCTTCCTGCACCTTTAGTGGGTGGTATGTAGGAAAACATTTACTTGTCTTGTTTTAAAAAATACATAGCAAACTATTCAGTTATTGATTAATTTAGGTTTTAATAGAGATTTTCTAACATATGCCTAAAGACATATATATATATATATATATATATATATATATATATATATATATATATATATATATATATGAGATATATTATTATAATTAAAATTGAAATGTATTAATTATAAGAAATATTCTTCATAATTATTACATTTCACATTTAATTATTTAATTATAGTAGTATTTTATATAACTAATGTTTCTTATGAGTATCTTAGGATATATATTAGAAATGCTATAATTATATGAAGCAAAACTTTTAGTGAAATTCATGAAGCCAGTTTCTTATAGCGAACTCCATTTACCAAAAATAGTGAAATTCAAACTCCATTTACCAAAAATAGTGAAATTCATGAAGCCAGTTCCTTTATTTTTGTTTTTCAGGTGTTGAACTTCATTTAAGCTATGAAGAAGTTCCTTTGATTGTGATTTTGTATATTTGTTTTTTGTACATATTTTTTCTGAAATATGCTTATAGCATCATATGTTTATGATATAAAACTCTTATAACATAAAGTTTATTTTTTTCAATTATTTATCATACTTTTTTGTTAAACAACAACTAACATTCGTTACTACATTTGGTTTACAACTTAATGGAAAACACCAATGTTACCATGATCAGTGACTTGACATTGCAGAAGATGACTACACGATCAAGGTTCGAATCATTCATTTGTGGAAACAGATTCGGATGATTGGAATGATATTAGTGGACGAAAGGGTATTTTGGATTTTATTTGTGTTTTATTTTTAATACTATTAAATTATACATGTTAAGTTATAATTATTTGTATGTGTAGTATAACTTATATTATATTTTTTCTTTTATTTCTAGGAAAAACAATTGTTTTTAGAGGAGATTTTAGACAAATTCTGTCTGTTCTTCCTAATGGAAGCAGTCGCTATCGAATGTGGGGTTGTTTTTTAGACAACCAATATTCACTCATTGGTAGTCGTTATTAGGGTTGTGCAAAAAACCGCACAAACCGCCCGCACCACACCACATAATGCGGTTTAGAATTTCGCGGTGCGGTTTGCGGTTCATCATTTTATCAAACCGCACTATGCGGTGTAGTTTGCGGTTTGTATTTATAAAACTGCAGTTGAAACCGCACCGCACCGCATGTTATATATATACTTTTTTTTCTTTATTTTGTTATAACTTCAAATCACGATTTAGAAATGATGTATATAAATATATTTCTTACAATAACCAAATATCTATAACGTAACATTAAATCACTATTAGATCAATATCTCATGGTTTACAATAATATATCAATTATAACGGCAATATAAAGCAATAACAATGATACTTATAAAACTATAGTAACATGAATCACAATTTATTAAAAACGATTTAACTCGAAAATTGTATTTGTTTTTATAAAATGAAAGCAATCATTTTTTTTAACCCGGTCAGGTTTTTGGTTTTTTGATAGATTTAATGTCAAACAACTCATCAAACCGCACAAACCGCATAAACCGCCCGCATCAAACCGCACCGCATCATGCGGTTTTGAACATCTGTGGTGTGGTTTGCGGTTTCTAAAGTATTCAAACCGTATATGCGGTGCGGTTTGCGGTTTTGACTCGAAACCGCACCAAACCGCACCACACACACCCCTAGTCGTTATATGATGTATTAAAATAAGTCTTTGAAAATTTATAATTCATAAAAATAAGTCTCAATATTTCAATAATTGTTTTTATTATTATAAGTTATCTTACCTATTTATTTATCATTTTGTTTTTATATGTTTAGCAATTTTTATTTAATTAATGTTGTTTACAATATTATTGTCATTATCATTTTATAAATACGTTTATTTTATTTCTTTATATTTCGAAATAGTTAATTTATTCTTTATTTATATATATATATATATATATATATATATATATATATATATATATATATATTTTTACGTAAAATTATTACTAAAAAACATGTAATGCTTAACAAAATATATTATATTTTAAAAAAAAAAATACACGGATCTCACACCTAGTAATTATATGAAGCAAAACTTTTAGTGAAATTCTTGAAGCCATTTCTTATAGCAAACTCCATTTACCAAAAACAGAGATCAATATATTTATCCCATATTTTTAGGATTTAATTTTGCTATTGTTTAGGACTTCCTGCTAAGAGGCATTCATGCCCACCACCAGTTTGTATAAACGCCCCACCAACCTCCCCGAAGAATTTGACAACTACGTACGTTATCATCCACAACCCCGAAAAAAGGAAAAAGATCAAATTTGAAGTCAATTGAGTTAATTTTCCTACCGGAATTTGATAATGGTGCTATTAACTATCAAGTTAATTAAAGAAAATGAAAATAAAGGAAAATTGTATACATAAATCTAATTTCTACCTAAAGGTTCGTTTAAAGAATCTATATCATAAGATTTTGCATAACTAATTCTTGATCTTGCATGAGATATCATCAATTTAACTTGCATAAACATGTGTTCGTAGGACCTTGAAGAACATATATACAAAATTGAAATAAAACTCTATAAATCAACGAACCCTAAATTATTGCATAATCTTATACAATAAACGTTCTTGCACCATTTTCTGGTGATGTGCTTGCATGTTCAGAAACTTATCTTAATCTTTTTCTAATATAAAAGAAAATTGCTATAAAATATAATACAAAATGCATAGCTAGACCTATAAGTTTCTTGATATATCAAAAACAATCACCTTAAATAACCAAAAAGCAAAAAGGTATTCAACTTTATGCGCTCTTGAGATTGTTAAGACAATCTTTACTAACCCCTTGAATCCAATCATTAAACGCTTTAACCTCTTTATCCTCTCCATCCGTCTCCATGAAACAGTCATTGCATGTCTCAATATCCGTGGTGATACCACTTACGTCACTATTAGCTTTAGATTGATCTTTCTTGTTGATGCTATCAATGCCTGTTTTGACGCCATTAATGGCGTCATCAAAGTTGTCCAGGCACTGTGAGAGGCAACTTTTGGTCCCTTCTGGTGTGTTCGGGTCGTCCAATCTTTTCGTGACAATTACTTTAAACTCAGAAATTCTATGTTCGATTGCTTCTAGTTGTTTGCATGCGACTTTAGATCCTTCAGTCTGTGGTGCAACGACTGGCTTTTGTATACCAATATCAGGTAATGCAAGTTCAAACATTTCAGAAAGAGAGATGGGGCTGCTACTGGATTCGGAAGGGGGTTGGGAGGAGCTAGGGGTAGGGAATGAGGTTGACTCCGTAGGAGAAGGGGAAGGGCTACGTGATGAAGTTGTCCTACGATATAGGGTAGAGAATAGAAGGGCATAAATGGAAATTAGACTTAATGTCTTCTTGTTAAGGGCCATTGTCTTCGATCTTTTTGTAGTTTGGGATTCTAATGGGCTAAATGTACGTAGGGGGTGAGGGGATATAGCCATATAGGGAAGGATTGGGGTTTGTTATTTATAGATAAACTTTCTAAAAGTGGAAATATCGTCCTTGAGGTATGAGGTTGAGGATCTCCTTATTATATACCATAAAAGAAACAAAAGTAAAATAAATATAACTATTGGTATTCGGTTCATCTGAATTGGTGGTCAACATTAAGTACACAAGAAGTGACCCCTTATGCCAAAAAAGAAAATCTTGTTTTAATGGTCAACTTTAATTCTTAAATAGTCAAATAGTCATGCTTATTCTTCCAAAATGGGAAAAAATGTCTTCTACATAGGCATGTAAACGTGATGAGGAATGTGATATGTTGTACGGAAAATCTTCAAACCAATCATTTAGGATTTACCAAAGGGTATTGGCCTAAGTGTACCAAGGTGTTTGAAACGATGTGTTTTTTTTAAAGGGTAATGGTTCAAACAATGATAGATCCTGAAAAACTCAAAAATGAACTACAGTGCACTTTGGTCGTTGACCGGTTAATAGTTAACCGTATAAACATCTTTCCATTGTCTATTTGTCTGTATTATTCTGTTGATAACATTTTAAAATAATTCATACCAAACCATTAAACAAATTAGACATCATATTTCACAGTGAGCAGACATAACTTCAACGCACAATTTTTTTTTTGAAATCAAAGTATCATATATTCATAGGAAAACTTCTAACTGTTGCGATTAAACCCAAGAAACAACATCCAATCTATACAGAATTTTGGAACAAGGAAGAACGGGGAAGAAAATGATCTTTTGTACAATAATACAATCTTTTATTAATGACACACACACTACACACAATATTACATGTCTTTTAACTGTCATTAAGTTATAACTCTTCCCAAACATTACAATGATTCAGGAAAAAAAAGAAGCTCTAAAAACAGAAAGGAATGAGATGGATTCAAAAACAATAATTTATTATTATCTTTTAAAATATATTCCTCTTGTAACTCAAATCCAAGTGGGGGCCATGTATCTAAACAATTGATGGTTCTAAGAGTTAAATTTATTAAACCCAAAATGGGTATATGTATACTTACAGGAAACAGATCCCTCCTATTATGATTAGGAGGCTAAAACTTAGATAACAAGCAAAGTTTAAAATAAATATAAGTATTGCATTATCCTTACACACGTATATGATAAACTCTAGAAACCAAATAAACAATAATTTATTTACTCCCCCTCAAGTTGGAGTATGTAGATCTCGAAATGTCCAACTTGTCAAGTAAAAAAACGTAAGCGAACTTTACCCAAGGCTTTAGTAAAAAGATCTGCAACCTGCTCTTTTGTATCAATACTGCAAGTCTTAATCTCTTCCGACTCAACTCTTTCACGTACAAAATAACAATCCATTTCAACGTGTTTGGTTCTTTCATGCAAAACTGGATTATTAGCTATATGTCTTGCTGCTTGATTATCACAGAAAAGCTGTGTTGGACCATGTTCAGGTACCTTCAATATCTCTAACAACCAACGTATCCATAAAATTTCACTCACGGTAGTTGCCATAGCCCTATGCTCAGCTTCAGCAGATGAACGAGATACCACTGATTGCTTTTTAGTTTTCCATGAAACCGGCGTCCCCCTCCCCCCCCCCCCCCCCCCAAAGTAATAAGTAACCGGTTCGAGATCTTCGTGTGTGTGTGTATATATATATATATATATATATATATATATATATATATATATATATATATATATATATCAAAGCCAATAGGAATCACAATATGCAACAAGGTCTAGACCTCCATTTTTAGGAATGAAAATACCTTGTCCTGCAGTCGTTTTGAGATAACGCAATACACGAACAACTGCATCCATGTGACATTGTATTGGGTCTGACACAAACTGGATAAGCACGTAGACAGAATAAGTAATATCCGGTCTCATTACTTGGAGATAAAGCAATCTCCCAACCAAGCGACGATATTGGCTCACATCGATTTGAGGGATGTCATCACTTTGATCTAACTTCAAGTTTTGTTCCATTGGAAATGAACTAGGTCTACAGCCTGGCAATCCACAATCATCAAGAATATCAAGAGTGTACTTCCGTTGGCTTAGAACTATTCCTCTATTTATTCTAGCAACCTCAATACCCAAAAAATACTTCAACGGACCCAAGTCTTTAATACTGAATTTTCGATTAAGGAAGGCTTTCGTTTCTTCTATTCTTGACATATCATTTCCAGCAATAATGACATCATCAACATAGATGAGTGTAGTAATAAAAACTGATCCTTTATTATAGATGAACAAAGATGCATCTGCCTTTGACTGTCGAAATCCTTGACTTGTAAGTGCTACTGTGAACTTCTGATACCAGTTCCTTGTTGCTTGTCGAAGTCCATACTTAGACTTTCGCATTCTGCACACTCGAGTATATCCTTTATTTGAAAAACCGTCTGGAATTTTCATGTAGACTTCTTCTTGAAGGTCCCCATGAAGGAATGCATTATTCACATCTAATTGATGAATAATCCAATCTTTCTTTGTAACAACAGTAAGCAAGGTTCTAACGGTAACCAGCTTCGCCACGGGTGCAAACATGTCATGGTAATCCACGCCTTCCTATTGTGTAAAGCCCTTTGCCATGATCCTTGCTTTGTATCTTTCAATTTCACCGTTTGGCTTATATTTTATCTTGTACACCCACTTCGATCCAATAGCACGTTTTCCCTTTAACAAGTCTTCAAGAGTCCACGTACCATTGTCTTCAAGTGCCTTTACTTCATTCTTTATTGTTGTCACCCAATTTTCGTTTTGAGCTGCCTGTTTAAAAGATTGTGGTTCTACATTGGAGCTAATGGCAGCAAGAAACACTTTGTGACTGTCAGTAAAATTTTCATAAGATATATAATTAGTGAGAGAATGTACCATAGAAGACACTTGATGGCTTGTAGGGTGTGCATGGTCTATCGAAGGAGGTAATTTTACAATATAATCATCAAATCTTTTCAGGGGAGCCCTTACACGTTTTTCTCTTGTAGTGTCAATTAGATTCTCTTCGTGATTTTCTGTTACCCCACGGGTACCTGTAATGTTTTCTTGTTCCCCAAGTCTTCATTTTCTTCGTTTAGATTAAAACCAACATCAACTTTGTCTTTGTCATTACTTTCAACCTTTTGTATATTTGAAGAAAATGGAAAATTCCACAAACTTCACATCCCTTGTCACTGTTATCTTATTAGTTTCTGTGTCAAGTACTCGGTATCCCTTTTGACCATGCGAATATCCTATAGATACCCCAGGTTTCCCTCTTTCATCAAATTTGTCCCCTTTGGTATTTGTGTTTCTAGCATAGACTAGACACCCAAATACCTTCATGTGAGAATAATCAGGCTTTTTGCCAAAAAGGACTTCATATGGTGTTTTAGAATTCAGGACCTTGGAAGGTAATTTGTTAATAATGTAGGTAGCAGTGAGAATGCACTCACTTCAAAATTTTATCGGTAGGCTTGCTTCAAATCTCAAGGCTCTTGCAACCTCAAGAAGGTGCATGTGTTTTCGTTCAACAACCCCATTTTGTTGAGGGGTGTGTGGACATGAAGTCTCATGAATAATTCCCATCTTAGAATAGAAATCATTCATGAGTTCGGAAGTAAATTCTCCTCCATTATCACTTTTGATCTTCTTGACAACTTTCCCAAATTGAGTTTTGATCAGTCGTCATATGGTTCGTGGCTCCAGTATCTATAATCCGAGAATCATTATTGTTTTTCCTACCTGCCATGTTAACAGAAGGTTTGGAGTTGATACTAGATTCCTTTGCAAATTATTTGAGTAACCCTTGATATTGTTCATCAGAAAGAACTGGAACTTGGCCTGTTTTGAGATTTGCCATAGCAGCCTTCGGTTTCACCTTATATTTCTTCCCGTTTATTGGTCACCATTCCGGGTAACCAATAAGTTTGAAGCAACCTTCCTTGTTGTGTCCACTTCTTCCACAAAAGGTGCAATGCTCGACTTCATCACTACTATTTCGTTTTGCGTCTTTTGCCACCCCTTTGTTACGTTGAGATGTGAGGTCAGAACCCCACTCATGTCGGTTACATGAGCTCTGGAATGCAATAGCTTCTTGCGTCGGCTTCTTTGTTGCTGAAATAGCACATTGTTGTTCATCTTTTGAGACAAGGTGATAAGTCGTCCCTAGTGTAGGAGTAGGTTTGGAAGCAAGAATTTGAGTCTTAATTTATTGTTGAGAAGACATTGTCAAGACCCATTTAAAACTCGTAAAGCCTTTCCTTTTCTTTGGATTCACTGAGTCTTTTGCCAAGATCGCAGGTACACTTTCCACACGTGCAACGAGGTATTGGCGATATGGTTTGAATTTCATCCCATAAACTCCTCATTCGTGTATAATAAGCTGAGACAGAAGCACCATCTTGAGATGTGTTGTTGAGTGTTTGTTTCAATTTGTAGGCACGAGGTGCGCTTTCCTTTCCAAGCTGCTCTTCTAGATCAGCTCATATTTCCGCAACAGTGTTTGCGTAGTTAACACTTGATCTGATGTCCTTCTCTATTGCGGTAGTCAACCATCCCTTTACCATGGCATGTAATCAGTAGAAGCATCAATGGGTTTGGGAATGGTTCCGTCAATGAAACCAATTTTGTTTTAGCAAACAATAAATTTCTCATCTCTTGAATCCAATCATTGTAATTGCTATCGGTAAGATAATCATTCACCTGCATCTGTTTGGGGTAGTCTAAGGCATTAATATAGTATGGCGAATTAGCCCCAATTGTTTCGCCATCCTTTTTGGATGACTCGGCATCGTCTCCAGCCATCGTTTAGCCGTCTCCGATCTTCTTGAAACAGATATGATTAAACCTGCTCTGATACCATAAAGAATTGATGGTTCACAGAGTTACTTTTATTAAACCCAAAATGGGTATATATACTTACAGGA